AGATAAATCCCTTTTTTTGCTTAGGAAGGGGCAACATTCACTTCCAACAGCCGTGTTTTTTAATTTTTAGTGAATCATATTTAGAGTCATTTTTAATTTGCATTTATTGGGATGCAAGTTCTTACAAAAGAGGTTTTTTTTTATAAAGATCAGGCTTGAAATTTGTGTGTAAATGACCTTATATTATTTTCTTTCTCATTCAGAATTTAGCTCAGTTGATTTTTAAGACACTATATAATACTGATAAAACCCTAAGAAATACAAAGATACTGAAATAAAAATATGTGTTGGAAATTTGTTCTTTATTGTACTAATTATTGTAAAATTATGCTTTCTTAATAAATAGGGAGTTTTATAAGCTTTATGTAGACATGTGATCTGTGTTTACCAAAAGCAAAATGGAAAAAGTTAGGAAAAACTAAAACCAAATGAACAAAAACACCTAAAAGAACCTTTGTTTGGGGGAAGCAACAAAGAGAACCAAGTGCAGTGAGAATCTCTCAACTTCAAAAAGTCTTTGAAAGAATCAACAAAAAGAGAAAAACTAAAAAGAATCAACAAAAGAGAAAGAGAGTGAAAGAATCAACAAAAGAGAAAGAGAGTGAAAGAATCAACAAAAAAGAAACAAAAACGGTTCACAGGTAATAAATGATAAAAAAAAGCAAGAAATGACCACAAAATCTTAATAAAACAAACATGTCCTTCTGTTGTGGATAAAAGCAATTTCTTTATATATGTTATTGCAGGTCAAACATGACTGTCAATGTTTTCTCACACATATCAAGTGTCTAGAAACAATGACACTACTTTTGTGACTTGAATTATTTCTTACAAAATAAAATGAATCTCATTGAATAGACATGAAGTATAGAAAATGAGATCATTTTTAAGAAATTTTTTTTTTTTAAATAAAAAGAGGAATGTGCTGAAAAGTTTAGTTTTTGAGGCTTGATTAGTATTACTCTTCTATTTGCCATTTCCTTTCAGAATGTTGGTTATCATGGCTCTCCACAATTTCCTGCCCTCTGTAATTACTCTTTAAATAAATAAAAATAATAAAATGTACTCTAAATGAAAATTATCCGCAAACTGCACTTGTTTTTTTAAGCAGATAACTTTTGGTCTTTATCCTCTGCATTTTGGACAAAGTGGTTCACATATTTTTTTTAGATTAACTGTAATGATGTCTTTCAACAAAATTATGGCTAGTTTCTATAATAAATATGTTTGCTAATACTAATTTTGAAGAAACAAAATGTTAGTACCATTAGTGAATCAGTTTGGAAATAAGTAGTGGTTTTCTACCATTTTGTCTTCTCCCCCTGCCACTCTATGTTAGGTGTTGCTGATTTTGTTTCTGTAGCAAGGTTTTTATGGAGTGGTGTTGCTAACCCCATGCCCAATTGACTTTGAATTTAAAGGTGTCCTTCTCCTAGACAGGTTGTTAACTAAGGCTAAGGAACGAAATCTGCACTGCTATTTAACCCATAGCTGGCTGAGAAGAGAAGAATTCATACCTTTCTTAAAGGTGTTTGTGTGAAAGTGAACACAATCAACTGGGCCAGAATTTGAACTCTGGCATGCCAATTCCACTTTCTGAGCATATCCAATCTACAATGTTATTGGAAGTCCTCCTCTGTAGTTCCTGTTTTTAAGAACCCTGGAGAATCTTCTGACCCCTCTATCTCCCTATTAGTCTCCTACCACTTTTCAGAAAAGTATTCGAGACTTTAATCAATGCTGAAGTGGTTAAGCATCTTCTCTCTCATGATCTACACTCTGACAAACAATATGTCTTCTGTTTTGCAAGGTCGACCGCTGATGTGCTAACTGCCATCACTGAATACGTATAGCAAGCTCTTGATAATAATGACAAAGCCCAAGATGTGGCTCTAGATATCTCAAAAGCATCTGACAGTTTTTGGCATACTGGTCATCTACATAAGTTCCAGGGCTATGGTATTACAGGATGTTTGTTTGATTAATCCAATTGTGCATTTCAAATTGTGAAATGAAGGTCATTTTGAACAGGTTCACTTCCAGATACTTTCACATGAATGTGGGTGTCCCCCAAGGTTCTATCCACAGTCGTACACTATTTCTGATCTTCATTAATAATATTCTTGATGTCACCAGTTCCCAAATAGGCATTTATACAGATGACATTACTATTTACTCCTATCTCAATAGAAAATCCATCAGAACTGACAAAGTTAATCTGGCTGCTGCTCTTAAAAAGGAAAATCAGTGGTCAGATCGGGCAGGAAATGGCTTGTAAATTTTAATGCCTCCAAAATGAAACTGCTCTCATTTAACCACCAGAGAGAAACTTTCCTACCCACTATCAGTATGGCTAATGATAGACTCCTGGAGAGCAACACACTGCACTTTTTTTGGCCTCACTTTTTCAACTGACTTGAAGTGGAACAATTACATTGAATCAATAGCTGTATCTACTGCAAGGAAAGTTGGTCACGGTGTTGTGCCAGAAAGTCTTTCCTGTCAGAGTCCATCTTGCACATTTACAAATCTACCATTTGTCCATGCATTGAATGCTGTTGCTATATCTGGTCTGCCATTCATCTCAAGGTCCTTGACAAAATCCAAAGAAGGATCTGCAATGTAACCAATCCTGACTTGGCATCTCAACTTCAGTCATTTTCTTACCAATGTGACTTGGCTTCCCTTTGTTTTTCTACAAATATTTTCATGGCATCTGCTCTAATGAGCTTTTTTCCCTGGTGCCTGACTACAAGAAGTTAAGCGTGCTACTAGATTGGCATCTAGGTCCCACCCTTTTACTGTTGAACTAGTTAAATCCAACCATCACTTCTACTCCAACATTTTCTTTTCTCACAATTCCCGCCAGTGGAAATCCCTTGGGTTTACTTGCTTCCCGGATAACTACAATCTTCAAAAATTTAAATGCAATGTCAATCGCCATCTTCTATCTTTTTGAATCCCGTCCATCTTTTATACTTTTCTTGGTCCCACCCTATATCCAGTCTTTTCTTTCACTTTCATTCTCTGTAACTCCCTGTGTACCAGTGTTATTCCTGCCTTGCTTGGGGTGAAATGATGTAAAAAAAAATAAAAAGTTTTTACCAGCTTCATTATTCAACCTGGTTTGAAATTTGTTTTATAGAATTGGAGACCTTACTTGTCAATCAATCCTTGTAATTTTGAAAGGAAATAAATTTCCTTCATTTTGATACCAGTTCTATTATTCTATCTGGTTTGAAACTTGTTTTAGAGGCTTGGAGTCCTTATCAATCAACACTTGTAGTACTAAACAGTGACTATGTTGAAAAACAACTCATATTTTATGCTGATACCAGTTTTATTATTTTGTCCAGTCTAACACTTTTTAGAATTGGAGACCTTATTTATCAACAGACTCTTGTAGAAGGTCATCATCCATAACTAATCAGAAGTGTTTTAAACTGTGAGATTAGAAAAAAAAGCAAGCTGATAATAAAAGCCAAACTATGTCTACTTGGATTCCTGAAAATTAATCTTATTTGTGAATACAAATTCTACTTGAATATCTCTGAAAATTTAGTGTTTATTTGTATATTTATGCCTTCCCCTCTTCTCAGGTGGCATCTTGTTTTGTCTGGACACAGTTTCTGAATGACACTTGAAATTCCTGCAATTGCCATTTTACAAGAATGCTCAACTTAATTGTTTACAAAGTCATTGCAAAGTGTAATCTCTCAATTGTGTACCACATTTTTCTTTTCTTCTTTTTCTAAATATTTCTGCTTACAAAAGCACAAGTTTACCTAATTATGCCCAGCGGGTTCATACTCTGAGGATGTAATAATTACACAATGTCAATTATATATAAAATAGTTTAAGTTACAAGTAGTCTGATAGAGATCATGAGATAGCCATAAAATAAGTTAAAAGGATATTGAATAATAATACAGAAATAAATTTGACATGTCAATAGTAAAGTAGAAAAATTCTGAATAATATAAAAACTCGGTGTATATATGCACATTTGCACATAAAAAAAATTTTGATGCAAAATGAGTTACCTAAAATGAAAAGAGAACATTCTCATTAAAATGCAGCCTACTTGAAATGAATTGCACAAGCTTAATTATTACAGTATTAATAAAATCCTTTTATCAGTTGAATTATTTTCTTTGTACATATTTCCAATTTATAATAGAATCTGACTAGAAATGTCACACATTCTCTAATCAGGGAAAGATTTTGAAGTTAAAGTCTATAAATGAAATAATTTTGTATTTCTCTCTTAAAATCTTTGACATCTGGTTAAGGATCCTTAGTCTTCTGCCTCATTTCTATGTTACACAGACACACACACATACATACATACATACATACATATATATTCCCATATATATATTTTTCCTTTATTTGTCACGTGATGTAATTATTTCAAGATGAGGTTGACTGTGTTTGCTCTCTGACGATCTGTGTTCAAACCCAAGGGTTGGCAGTGACACTTTATTCTTATATAACAGTTATCTTCTGTCTTCTTGATTCCTTATCTTTTATTGTTCCCACTGCTTGATGCTTTTCTTATTATTCTTTTGCACTCAGTAACTCCTTGTGTCTTAGCCTTTTTTGGGATGAAATAAAAAAAATACATGTCCTAATATTTAACCCATTGCTGGAGGAGGAAATGGATTCATACCTTTCAAAAGGTACTTGCATGTAAATGAATATAATGAAGCCAATTGAAATTCAAAATAGGCTCTTTTTTCTCCTTCTGAAAAACTATCCATTACACCACCTGCACAATTTAATAGATCAGAAGTATTCTTAAATGATTAAATTCTTAAATATGATTATTTTTAAGCTTTATTTTCATTATGCTGAAAGAAAAAAGAAAATGTAAATTATAGATGGATTGGTTGCTTGTCCAAAGACATAGTAATGTAAGTAACAAGTGAACCAATCATAATTTTTAACTTCTTCCACCATAAGATTGTAATCATACAAACAAAAATATTATAACATACCAGAGTCATTAAGTAAGAAGGCAACATGCTCAGGCTGGAATTCATAACCTAGCATTATGAATTGGCAAAGGGAAAACATTCCATTGAGAGTATGGCCAAAGGGTACTTAACATTAAATAGTAGTGGACTGAAGTGAGACCCTGACCTTCAGAATATACTATACAGCTGCTCAGATTGCTTCTGGCTTTGTTCACTAGATAATTGGAGAGTGGGTGTGGAAATGAAAAAGGAAAAAAAAAAAAGGAATAGGTGGAGGAGATGTGTAAAGGAAAAATAAAAAAGAAGTAAAACAAAGAAGAGAGGGAAGAAAAAGAGGGCAAAGAAAAAGGAAAACTGAGTAAAAGGGATAAGAGGATGAGGAGTTTAAAAATAACAAAATAAAAAAAAAAATGAAAAAGGTATCAAGTTTAAAAGACAGATAAAAAGTCCAAGCTAATGAGGAAAGCCTTTGTTAGGCCCTAAGCTGTCTGTTCTTGACAACTTTCATTGTTCCTTCTTTTATGCAACTTAATAATAACAGTAAACAGTTATAAATTATATGTAAATACTCAAACTATAGAGAACGGATTTTTCTTCTTTTAAACTTGATTTAAAGAAGCAGAACAACAATAATTTATTTGCTTGCATGTCTAATAATTTTAATTAAGCAAAGAGTCAGATTCAATTTGATGACAATTTAGAAATTTTTTCTATCAGAGATGGAAGCCAAAATACAAATTAAACAGAATAATTAATGGTCACAGTAATGATTAGCCTTTAAAATTCAAATGATCCTAATTAGTTTATTTTCTCTGAGACTCTCAAATATAATCAGCTAAAACAATAACCCTTTCATTTTGTCTTTTTAACATGTGATCCAGAGCGTATAAAGAGCGGAAGTGAATAGCAGATACAAATAAGGTTACGCTATTATCTAGGGTGTTGTACAGGAACAAAACAAGAAAAAAGTAAATAAGTAAATACTTTCCGAATAAATTATATATATTTTGTTACATACACAAACCAAATTGGGATTTCAGTTCTGTTCAGTTAAGACCTAACTGCAGCAAGAAATTGTAGTGGCTATTAAATTTATTATAAAATAAAACTCAGTATGAAAAAGAAAACAAAAAACAGTAAGGATTAAGTATTTATTTTATGGCACTTTTTAACCTTTGTGCCTGGAAAAAAGAAAACAGTGAGTCAAAAAGACAAGTTTTTCCCTTGACACTGCTATTATCTTCATCTTCCATATATGTCGGTATACAAGGCAACCTTTTAACCTTAAAAAGGTCCCCACCAAATAAGGGGCCATCTTATATTCCAGGTATAAAATGTGAATCTTAAATCCTGTGATTTATGGTAAGTTGTTAGCATGGGAGATGTGTGCTTCAACAAATCATTTAAAGATTGCATTCAAAGACAGTGGAATGAGTGGGTGGTTAGTGGGGAAAAGTCATTCAGGTTACTGTAATAGCCTACCAAAAACACAGCACCCATTTTTGAGATATTGTAGATTGTGGTAGTTAAATGACAACATCTCCCCACCATTTTTTCATTAGAATTTGAGTGAAAAAATTGTCTTGTATTGCAAATATAGCCCAAAACCTACATTTTAACTTGAAAATTTGGCTGGTGGGGGGAGTCTTATATGTGAAGTTGCCTTGTACGCCAACATATATGGTACCTTCACTCCTTGTCAATGTTTATTTTAAAAGGCAATGATTCAGAAGTAGTATCAACAGTATTATTAATAATAGGACTCATACAGATAACAAAAGAACAAATTTCTCTACTCTGGTGCTGAGTGGTTAGAATGTTAGCATTCTGACGATGAGACTAAGGTTGATTTGTCAAGAAGGTGATTTCTTGATAATAATGACCTTGGAAGACCACCCTAGCATGTGGCACCACTGGAAAGTACCTGAAAAGCATACCTGCTGACCCAAGCCTTGCAAGTAAATTTAGGTAGATGGAAGTGTTTGTAACTTGTTGATGGTTGCACTATTATGAAGTCACAAGTCTTATTGGCCTTGTTCAAACTGATCACCAGATTATGTGTGCTCTCCCAGAAACTGTAACTAAGGTTCATTCAACAATATTGCAGTATAAATAACATGTTGGTTCTGTGGATGTGGAAGAAACACAAATTGGTTTAAGCAGGCATCTGTAACTGGGATTAGCTAGCCACCCAATCAAACAGGCATATTCGGAAACAAGAATTCAGCCATTATACCATAGAGAACAGCACCTTATATTAAAATTTGCATTATGTACATGAGCTTTACCAGAAATGTATAATTAGATACACCAACGATTTAGATATTTTTAAAGCAACAAGTCATTTTTTTTTTACTACCATTTTTTTCATTTTAATTCCAGGTGCTTTTTATTGCAACTTTCAGATTGTCGCTATAATCACTTGTAAGCAAGAGTTGAGAAAAAGCAAGTGAAGATGAAAGAAATGTTCATCAGAAACGTACTAATAATTGACAAGTCACACATGGTCTCTTTATAGTTATAACAGTCAAGCTGACATCATTACAAGAATGAGTAATGAGTTATTGAACTCATCAAGCAAAACCAATAGCCCTGTATAATAAAATTTGTTTCTAACTTGGTACTCCTCAACATACCATCTTGTTCCAGACTAAGCTAAGCTTAAATACCAATAGACTATATGGACATGTAAGTAGCATAACAGTGATTTGTAAAGAGAAATGAGTAAAGAGTTGAGTTTGAATTAGAGCCGTGTTTGTTACATTAATTTTTGTGCAAAAACCCTTGGAAAAGGTGTGAATCTATCTGAAAACTGAATTCAAAACTAGTCTAAAGAGATTGGACTTCATCAGGCTATCTTGCTCTAGATATGCCACTGCTGCAGTACATGTGATACCTCTATGAATCTAATGGGCTATGAAACATGTGACATGACAGACCTTACAAATACAAAAATAGAAACTAAAAAAGAATTGAAATTTTTCTCACCTCAATAAATAGAAACATGTGTAAATTACATTCCAGTGGAAATAATATAATTGCGTGTTTATGCCTGTCATGGCTTGTCTCAGAGGAGTCCAGGGACAATCTTTTGGCAGCATAGCCAATAGTAATTCTATTGTCTTTTTATGTGTCCTACCTATTGAAAATAAGGGTTAGGGCAGTGAAAGTCAGTCAGTAATTACAAACAACAGCAACAATATAAGTTAAGATTTATTTTTGTTAGTCTTACATTTCAGTTGCTGTACAAGTTTTATTTTATTTTAAAACCTTTTCCTTTTCCTAACTTTTATCCACAGACAAGAAAGAATAATGTTAAACCAGCAACTGCATGTGGAGGCATATCTCCATTTTCCCATTTCTTTTTGCACTGTTTTAACTGTTACCTGTTAATACATTAAATTGCTTGAAAGAAATATATGTAAAATCTATATCAGACTAATGTTGAGTAATTAAATAATACAAGGTAAAAAAACTGTGTAACATATTTCAGCCTTCAAAAATGTTTTTACTGATGGAATTATATATGTATAGGTTGAGGGGGCGAAGATATAAACAAAATCATTGGTTATAATTACATATCTAGAAGTAACACTGAAGAAATAGAAATGCTAAACTTTAGACTTAAATTTAAAATTCGCAAATCTGATGTGTCTAGACAAAGTTTAGCTGACTGACTTCATTCAGCTTCCCAATGATTCCGTTTTTTATAACAGTTGTTTTTAAATATCCCACATTGACTTTGCAGTAGATTTGTTAAGGTGAAATGTGGTATGAATCTGGATGCAAATTTAATGTGGAATCAGTGCACTTTCTATACATTTTTGGGAAAGGTATGAATCTATCTCTTCTCCCAACTAGCTATGGGTAAATAGCAGGACAGACTGGCTTCTATAGCCTTGGGTGGCAACTGGTCCAGAAGAAGGAAAACTCTGAATTCAAAACTGTATGTAGCCCTGGGGGAGCACATACTTTGCAGCTAAAGAAAGGATTATTTGCATTGACTCGATAAACCAGACTATAGTCAATTCCTTAAATTCCCTTTTTTTTTTCAAATCAAAACTACTTTTTATATAGACATTTTTTTCCCCTTTTGTCACTCAATTCAGTGCCATGTGTGATACACGCTTAGGCAATCATTTCGATACATGACTGATGAGGCAGATTTTCTTCCGCAGTAGGCTGCCATTTCTTTCTATGGTAGACCAGTCGCCATCCAAGGCTATAGAACCCAGTCTGTCCTGCCATTTACCCATAACTGGGGGGAGAAGAAGACGGCTCTCCAATTCCTCCATCTGAGCCGCTATCCATTACGCCACTGTGCCTCCTACAATTCAATTACCCATTTAAATGCTTATACATATGAGGGTGGATGAATAAATCAGTTACCAGAGTTTAACTGAAATTTGATCTGAAGTTTTTATTGTAGTTAGTATTTGCCACCATTGCATTGACAAAGGAGATTATGTTAAAAATATCTGTATAAAATTCTTTTCTTTTATTATTAGGCTGCAGACTTCACAATGTATCTGCATCGGTGTACATACAGAGACACACCTTTTATTGAGTTAGCTAGACAACCATTATAAAGATAGCTATAATTTGTTTCTTAATTCAGAATGTTTCATATTTGCCTGAACAAATCATTTCACAATCAAAACAATAAGAGATACAAAGTATAAAGAGTATAGTATATAAGGGCATGTTGAGAAATTCTCAGTCTAACCAAGAACTGATTCCTTACCAATATTCTGGTATTTGGTCAGATTTTGGGAAATGAGTTGGACCAAGAACTTTTCACCACTCTTAAATTTAAACTAAAAAGCTAAATGGTGAAATACTATAATTTTATGTAACCCCAGTTTACATATTAAAAGACATACTGATACATGATTGATTGATTTGTTTGTTTTTTATGGATCATCAACCCTTTGTAGGTTATTTAAGGCCAGAAAACATTTTAGATTGTAAGAATTATTTTGGGGAATAATGTTTTACTGATAGAAATCCTACTAATTAACCCATAGCTAGGAGGAGAATAGATGGAT